GACGTCGGGAGAGCACAACCCACCCCATATAGTGTCGCACACACCCCACTCTGTGGGCACGTGGAGGCCCAACCCAGCCCATATAGCGTCGCACACACGCCATATGGCACCACCCACCTCACACAGAATCACCCACCTACCTTGTCCTACACAGGCAGGACGTTTCTGCCCAAGAAACGGCAGCACAGGAAACAAGCAGCCTGGCAGGTACGTTTTTTTCGGTTTTTTTTTTTCCCTTTCATTTTTCTTCTTCTTTCGATTTCTTTAGATTCTTCTTTTTCTTAGATTTCGTTCTTCTTTTTAGATTTCGTTTGGCTTTTTTTTCTTTTCTTTTGGTTCCCCCTCGTTTTTACGAACTGCGTGAGCGCCCGTTCGTTCTGACGGATGGGTCACAGCAGCACAGGAAAAAAAAAAAAAAAAAAAAAAAAAAAAAAAAAAAAAAAAAAAAAAAAGAGAGTTTTCGTAGATGGGATGAGCAACCTACCGCCGAATAGGTAAGTCTCCAACCTGCCGGCTGGCCTCACGCTACTTCCATCGATAGGGCAGTCAGCGTGTGTGTGTGTGTGTGTGTGTGTGTGTGTGTGTGTGTGTGTGTGGGAGAGAGAGAGAGAGAGAGAGAGAGAGAGGAGGGAGAGAGCAGTCATCCGTTTTCGAACGACGAACAGCCAGTTCAATGAACCAAAAAAAAAAAAAGAAAAAAAAAACTACCTACATAAATGCAGAGCATCACATGGCGCGATTCGTGGGAGCTGGGAATTACCACTCCCAGCAGATATGTCAGGCGCCCGGCGCCCGTTTTAAGGGTGTCCGATCTCGTTAGGAAACGGTTCTTTTTTTTTCTTTTTTTTTTTTTTGTGTGTGTGTGTGTGTGTGTGTTTAGGTTTTTAACTTTTTACCATCCGATTCCGCACAGAATAATCGTCCGCAAGCCACATAATATCATCCGGTCCAGATAAAACGATGACCCCGAGTCAAGTCCCGTTTGCAAAAATTATTCGATTGCGGCCTTTGATCGCTGCAATCTGCGGTGAGAAATGAAGGATACTACTGGTAAGTGTGACTCGGCCCCCGCTGTGTTGCCGGGATTGTGAGCTTTTCCTATCGTCCTGCTGCAGCAAGCCTGCGGCATGCCTCTGCTTGTTCTTTTTCACTCACTTGTCCTGTGCACTTCCTTCTACTTCTCTCTATTGGAGGCACATCACTAAGGACTGCCCACCCACCAACCCTGAACCTCGCCCTAACCCGTAGAATCCCAGCCTTTCCTGTTTTCAAAAAAAAAAAAAGGACAGGTTACACGAACTTAACACCCCATGCGAAAGGTCCCCTACCATGGGACTATAGTGGTACCAAGGGTCAGCGGATTTCTACCTTTACCTTTTTCGGGCCAGGTCTAATTCGGCACGTGGGTCTCCCTTGGCAATTTGACTTCCAAGTACTTGGAGCTGTCTCTTATACACATCTAGATGTGTATAAGAGACAGGTCTGGATACATTCAACATGCTGTATCAATCAAAATGTATTTGAATCAGAAAGAGACCCACATACATTCATAATTTTGTGTTGTGAACCAAGGCCCCTTTTATTTAATCATAGTGTTCTCAAAAGCACCTGTCTCTTATACACATCTAGATGTGTATAAGAGACAGAACTGGGACCTATTCTAGTCCCGATACATGTAACTGGACCTATTCTAGTCCCAATACATTCAAAATGCACCGCTCACCGAACACCAACGTTTGTGATGTAACTGGACCTGTTCTAGTCCCGATACATTCAAAATGTTGCCGTTCGGCATTTGGTGCAAAGTAGCCCAGCCCAACTTTTGAGGCGAAAGTCGAGCACTTCTCCTGACCTTGGAGAAGAATTGCCAAACAGAGCCCATCGCGGCTTTGCTTCACTATATAAAATTTCTATATGTATCTGGATCTTCTTACAGTCTGGATACATTCAACATGCTGTATCAATCAAAATGTATTTGAATCAGAAAGAGACCCACATACATTCATAATTTTGTGTTGTGAACCAAGGCCCCTTTTATTTAATCATAGTGTTCTCAAAAGCACAGTGCACCACATCGATAGGCGGCAGTCAAATTCAAGAAAAAGTCTGAAAAACATTGAGAAATTAAAATTTAAAAAAAAAAAAAAAAAAAAAAAAAACGTTTCTTTTTTTTACATTGCCACAAAATGAAGTCAACTTTTTTTTTTTTTTTTTGTTAACGCCTACTTTTTTTTAGAATGTCTTGCTACAATTGATCAAGAACGAGTAATGTGATGCGCACACAGTGCCTTGCTCTCACTACACAACACTCTACACGCATTTAGATGTTCTGTGGACCAGGTGCATTCGGACGAGGCCAACACTCGAATGCATCGGGTCCAGAAAGTGTCCTAGTGCATGTAGAGAGTTGTGTAGTGGAGGAAGGCCCACCTACACGCTTATCACATGGATCCTCGGGAGAAGAAAAAAACAGTACACCCTTCCCTCAGTTGGTACACCCATGCACTCTTCAAACACAGAGCCAAATTAGTCCCGATCTGGGGGGGAAGGGGGGGGGACCGCAAATGTTTACGCCCTTTAGGGACCTATAGCACAGGTGTTGGCTAGGCTGGCAACCCCACCCCCGCCCCCCGGCCCTGGCAGCAAACTCCCAAAGCACTATCATCTTCCCCCAAATAGAATGGCCGTTAATTATACCTGTATCTGGACCAGAACCTGGCTCAAATACAGTTATACTGACCCAGTGTTCTATTTCGATGAAGACGGCCTGAAACAAAACGGTTGCTGCTTCGCCCACAATGAACATGGTCTTCGAGCAGACTGCAAGATGGCTCAGCTGCGACAGGAACGCTGGCTTGGCTTGCCCAATTCTGCTACCAGCATGGCGAGAGCTGCATGTGGATTTGGGCGCAGGGCGCACGGCACAGGGGCATTTGGAGACCCCCCGTTCGTGTGAGCATCGAGCTGCCGACGTTGTTGCAACTATTTTTTGGACAAAAAAAGAAAAAGGTGCTGCCGTTGCTATTGGAATTTGGAAGTAAGATTGTGGGCAATGATTAGATTCATGCTAGCCCTGCCAACGGACGTCACCCGCAAAGAACGCCCGGTCATTATCGCTGTACATCTAGACTGAATGTTGCACCAAATACAACGATAATGACCGGCCATTCTTTTCAGCTGTGAAGACGATAATAGTTTTTTTTTTAAAGACGTTTCGCCTTGTGCTCCACCGGATTTTTAGACCTTTATGATTTTATCAAGTTAAAGCGGCGGGGCTCCACTGCCGAGAAAGAAAAAATTAGTAATTGCCGAGAAAGGAAAGTTTACTAAATTAGTAAATTACCTTTCGGAGAATCTAGCCTGAAAAGGCTGGAAATTCAGTTTATCCTGCTGCGTCCCCCACACTCTCCTGCTGAATCAGTTACTCTCACATTGAGAACTACATTCTACCATATCTTTTCTCACAGAAAAAAACGGTGCAATGAATCTGGCCACAAGGCTGACCCAGGTGCAAAAACTGAAAACCACTATTTTTCCCATGCTGCTGGGCGATTCTGTCATAATAAGCGCGAAAGGGCCGGTAGGTGAAACCCCAAAAGTTATTACGGCTTCTGCGCGCCGTACTTAGTTTTAAAAGGGGAAAGTCTAAAAATAAGCCGGCGGAGCACAGCCATACTTGTTGTTTCTGTCTACATGCAGCGATGATGATGATCTCGCCCTCTACTCGGGTGAAGATGGTACCTCATGGCACTAGTCATTCTTGTCGGTTTTCAAGTTTTTCTCTCTTTGCAAAAAGAAGAAAGGTGAAACTTCAAAAAGTACCCCAGTACCTAACACAGTGACAACATCATGCAGATGCCGACAGTAACATTGCCAAAAACGGACCGGCATACCAAACATGCTCCTCGTGAGAAAAATCAAACAGAGAGCAGATCCACTCTACCAGAGCTCATCTGCTTCTCTGGCCATTAGGAAACTCCTCTCTCTCTCTCTCTCTCTCTCTCTCTCTCTCTCTCTCTCTCTCTCTCTCTCTCTCTCTCTCACACACACACACACACAC